ACATTTTTAATTCTACCCCTCAGTAAGAAGTTACACAAGCATGTCACAGAAAATATATTTTAGTTTTTCAAAAAAAATCTTCAATTTCAATTCCAGGTTGGCAACAAAGTTATGGGTATTTCTAACTTTGGGGCGTGGTCAGAACTTGTCACCTTACCAGCTAAGTTTTGCTTCCTGATGCCTGATGGTCTAAGTTTTGAAGATGCAGCAGCTCTTCCAATCAGCTATGTTACAGCCTACATTCTGTTGTTTGAAATTGGTAATTTGAAGAAGGGGAGATCAGTACTTGTTCATTCAGCAGGCGGTGCAGTGGTAAGTAGAAGAGCATTGTTTACTCGGCAGGAGGTGCAGCAGTAAGTAGAAGAGCAGATCAAATTAATGTGTAATGTGTGTTTTTGGTTGGCATTGATGTAACCATAGAACATTGCACAGAGTATGAAACCGAGGATCATGTATTCAAAGAGTGACATTTTAAGAAGATTTTTAGTGAACATTTTTATGTTGATATACTTGGCAATTAACCATCATCTTGGGGGATCCAACTGCTATAAATACAGTACTAAGGAGCCCAGCTGCAGTAAAAAACAGCAGACAGAATAAATCTTATAGAGAGGTTAAAAGCAATCTTTTTTTCTGTGACTGCTCTTAAAATTCCCTATTTTTCCTATTTCCATGTCTCTGCGTATCTTAAAAAGTAGAAATGGGCTTAGAATAATAATGCATTTGTTAGTATACATGTACCGGGGGGTACAAGGCACTGATGTAACCAGTGGACCGATCCGAACACAAAATGAAGCATGGAACTATAGACTAGGCTTGTGATAAAGAAATGGTTAGATGAGACTACAGTGACATTCAATGTCTGAAATGTTGCCTACCAACAAGATATTTAACAAGAAAATGTGTTGCTGTAATTTCTCAAGAAATTGTCAAAATTTACGAAACTTTTATAAATTGGATCACAATGGTTTTATTAATTTCAGTATTTATTATAATCTTAGCTTGATTGCTCCAACAACAAATAAAACAATAATTTTAACCATGACATCAATGATTGAATCATAGATAAACAGTGCCCTCTATCTTCCACATTATAAATTCAAATTTTGGATAGTCTGAAACCACTTAGCACACTAGCATTTGCATATGGTGTATTTTGGTTGAAAAACATATATGGGGGTTAGATAATGATAATTGATGAGAGATTATTGATGTAATTCATCCTTAGATGTTTTAGAGCAGGTATATTTTAATGACAAAATATTTTCGTACAAATATGTATATGAATCATACAAACAACGATGGTTGTCACGCACATGTTCAAATTTCATGTAAACATATTTTGTGTATTTTACACATGTTGCATCATTGTTTAAACCGTGTGTGATTACTGTATTTTTTTGAATTACAGGGTACAGCCATAGCACAGCTGACGAAGACAATTGGAAACATTACCTTATTTGGCACGGCATCCGCTCACAAGCACGAAACTCTAAAAGACGATTGGCAGTATTTATTTGACAGGCTACAACAAGATTACCACCAGGAAGTGAAAAAGTAAGTTTGAATCAAATCAAAAACCAAATTATAGAAACACAGGTTGGGTAATGTCTGAGCAATGTGTATATGCACAGATTAGATGGGTGATTGGAAGTATGGAGTGGACCATTAAAAACTGGGGGGGGGGGCACAGTTAAACAAGTATTTTGTCCTGAAATTTGCCTGAATGAAGTGTTCAGGCAATAAAATATTCTAAAAAAGAATCTTCACCCCAACTAGTATGAACGAATCCAGGTGAAAGATAGATAAGATAGATTCTCTATTAGTGGGATTCAAAGCTATAAAAAGAACTAAATGTCAAACTCGGAAATGTCATTGTTTAATAATTTACAACATTTCATGTACCAGGGTATAAAGTATTATAATCTTGAAATGATGAATACATTATGAATTGTTGACAAGATTAAAACATACAATGTGGTTTTTCAAATCACAGTCATGTGTTTTTGCCTATTTTTTTATTTTATGCAAAACCAATATAAAATCGCCTAATATGGTCCTAAAAAAGTAAACATGGTTATGTGACATGGTGTATATTTATAAAGATTGTCTGCAGATATAGCTGAAAATGAATTTTTGTTTCTAACAAAAAAATATTTTCTACTGTCTATGTGCTGTTTGTATGTTTATACATACAGTACAATTGTCTAGGTATTGTTTGCATGTTGTTAAACAGTACATCCTAATCCTAGAATCCTGGGATAGATATTCATTTGGTACAACAAAATTTAAGTGTAAATAAGTCGCTCAATAAATAAAGAGTACATGCCAAAGTGCTAATACAGTCAAATTTCAATATATACAATATCTATTACATGCATGTCATGGGACCCAAATTGAACACCGCAAAGTATTATGTGGTAATTATCCCACAATTTAAATATTATAAACTACTGTAAAATACTTTATTTTAGCTGTAATTAATTTTCGCTGAAAGATATTTTGTGTGTTTAGTATGGAATTTATTTTCACTGATTTCTGACAGTTGA